TGGGTCGTCCGCGTCGCGGTGTTGCACCCGCCGCAACCGCGAGCTGCCGCCGAGACCGCGACCAGCGACGGCCGCCGCGACCGCGCGCGGCCACCGCGACCGCGACGAGGAACAGCCACCACGACCGGAGGCATCCACCACGACCGCGCGCAGCCGCCGCGCCCGCGACCAGAAACAGCCGCCGCGGTCGCGAACAGCCACCGCGACCAGGATCAGAAGCAGCCTGCTCGACCAGAAACAGCAATTACGACCGCGCCCTGGACCGTCGCGGCGACGGCGCCGGCGTCCGCCCGGTATTCCGTGACATCAGGAGGCGTCCTCGATGCGGTGTTGTACCCGCCGCGACCACGAACAGCAGCAACGACCGCGACCATAAACACCCCCTGGGCCCACGAACAGCCGCCGCGACCACAGCGAGGAACAGCCGCCACGACCAGAAAAATCACCGTTAGGAGTAGCTGCAGAGCATGCAGCTGTACTTGTGCGGGCGCCGCGATAGTGACCGCAACGCCACGGTGAGCAATGCCAGCATGACGCGCAGCGCCAGCGTGAGCGTCGACGCCCCGAACTCCAGCATCCAGCATGAGTTTCCACCTCCACTTCCCTTATTCGTCGCCCAGCCCCTGCGTGCTGAGCAGCATCCAGTATGCTGTATTCCACGCCCACCTCCTTCTCTCGACCTCGGCCCAGCACTCCGACCTCCCGGCCCAACCTCGCCAGCAGGGAGCGCGACAGCGGCCTCGACAATTTCGACAGCATGAAACGGGAGCTGGGGGTGCAGGGTCACGGACAGGATCCAATGCATCGCTCTCGGCGCTGTTGCGGAGCTGATGGCTGCAGAGAGGATCCACGGCATCGCGGCCAGGGGCAGCTGGCCCTGCCCTTTCCTTGGGGTGCTCGGCCAGCCCGCCCTCGAAGGCAACGGGGGCCAGGACTACCGCGACGATGCCCGCGGTCCACTGCTGCGGGATCTTGGCAGGATCCTCCCCCACTTGGCTCCTCCGAGCACGATTGCAAGCACGGAAACGGCCTCGACCACATCCACGTCGGCTGTGCCCATCAGGCCAAGTACCGCACCGACGTCCACAACTGCGCCAGCAGATATCTGCGTTGCCGCGCCCCGCCCGGCAATCGCGACGAACGCGACGACGGCGCTGCGATGTCCTCGGCGCCAGCGCCGTCGACAAAGCGGACCCCAGCAACGATTTCAGCCCCTGCGACGGCCACGGGGGGCCCCGCGACGACCATGCGGACTTCCGTGTTGACCACGGGCGCTTCCATGACGACCGTTTTTTTTTTTTTTTTTTTTTTGTTGTTGTTTGTTTTCTTCCTCTTCTATCTTTTCCAGCGCAAACACCTGATGATGAAAATTGCAAGCTTACCAACTGATGGGAAGAGGACTCCACCATGTAGGCAAAGAGAAGGCGGTCGGGACCGAATCCCGAGCAGTGCAAAGTGGTGGCCAGGCCCACCCGTTCGTGTGACGACGCAGAACCCCCCCCCAAAAAAAAATGACGACCGCTAATGTTTCCGCGATGGCCAGAAGGACGCAAACGATTACCACGAGGACCTCCACAACGCGGCAGAGTGGACCACACCGTCGGGGAGGCAACCAAGAGGAGGAGGAGGAGCAAACACAGGCCAAGGAACGGAGAGCCGCCTGCCTGAAAGGCTCAGCGCCCACCTGGCCTGTTGGGCGCAGGGGGAAAATTACGTCAATTCTTGCTCACGAGTGCCACGAAGCAACAGATGTATTCCAGATTTCGTAATCAAAGGGAGGGGGTCTGGACCCTCCAAGACAAGCCATTTCAGACCTCCCCCGTGGGAGAACCCTCCAAAACATTGTCCCCAGACCCCCCCAGGCACTCCAAGATGGCCTGGAAGAGACCCCCCCCCGAAATGAGACCCCCCTCCCTTTATTACGAAATCTGGAGTACGTCAACTCTTGTTCACCAGTGCCACGAAGCAACATATGTAGCCTGCCGGATGAGCGTCTCCACGCAAGTGCCGGCGCCAGACCACAGAGTTGGTGGCGTCGTGGTCGCCGCGGAGGTAGGTTTCGGGCCGGCCTTGCGGGGGACACCTAGGCTGTATTATTGCAGCGTTTTGTCTGCTGCTCCGTCCGCTTCCACCCATCCCTCCCCTCCCTTCTGTCCTGTTGTGCTTGATTTGCTGGTTCGATCGTTTGGGCTTTCCAGTATGGGGGTTCGCATGCGCCTTTTCTTCATGTACGGGGGTAGCTGTTGATGTGAATTCGGGGTGTTTTCGTATCTGCCGTTCCCGCTCCCCCTCCTCCTCCTCCTCCTCCTCCTCCTCCTCTTCTTCCTCGCGGCCTGGATGAGTGTGCACGCGCTTACTTCTTCGTGCAAGTACAGTCTCGGACACGTTAGCTTGCACCACTGGTTTTGCCAGACAATGCGGCTGTATACAGCTACGGTGACGTGATAAGAACCGGAATGATTCAGGAGGGGAAAAAACACACAGACACAATTAATCGTCGATCCCTAGGAAAAGATGGGAAAATATGGGAAGTGGGGGGAAAGACAAAAACCCAGAAACTATGGGAAAATATAGTGAATATTTTTATTTGTGCGTATTTATTTGTGTGTCCTGGGGCCCCTTCAATGACGTTTTCAGCGCCCCTTCTTGTCAGAAGCTGTCGGGGGAAATCCTGCCCAGTCTGCGCCTTTGCCTCGGTCGTGCGCGCGACGGCGCTCTTGCTCAGTGCCAGTATGGTTACGTCTGTCTCACTAGCTTTAAGTCGGGCCTGTCCCCCCACAGGGTGATTTTCGACGGAAAAATAAACAATACCCCCAAAATGCCCCAAAAAGTTCAAACAATGCTAAAAAAATAGTCCCCAGACTATTTTTGGACTGTTTTTTGATTATATTTTGAGGCATTTTTAATGTTTCGTAGAATCCCCCGGTAGGGGGACAGGCCCGACTTAACCTTAGCTTTAAGCCTTCCGCTGGGGCGGAGATCTGAAGATCAGATGGTGATGGTGGTCGCGGTGATGGCATGATGGCGGCAACCAGGAGTGCAGCGGGGACGGGCACGGCGACGACGCCCTCGGCCCCGCGGTCTTTTATTGTCTCTTCTTGTGGCGGCCCCGTGGTCCGAAGCAGTCCGCGTCCTGGGGCCGCGGCGTCCTGGGGCCCGTGGCTGAAAAGCCGTAGATCCGGCATCCCCGAGTCTGCGGCTCTCCGCCGCGGCAAAACCTGGTGACCTCCCCGGCCCCTCCGCGGCCGTCGCTTCGCCGCCGGCTCCCGCTCCCCATCCTGGGCCGCTCACGTGGGCTCGCGGGTTCAGGGTGGCTTCGTGCCCATAGGCACCCTTCCCGGGGGCTCATGTAGGAATTCTGTGTATAAGGTGTGGTATCTCTCGGAGCCATCGATAAGATCCAAGACAAAAAATGAGACGTGGGCCACCACGGACCAGAGCCGAAGCCAAGGCCGCACACAGCCCAAGTCCCAGGTTGGAAGATGAGGAATTCCGTGACACCTTGAAGGTGAACATAATTGTTGCTGCATACGATCGGCAGGGTGGGCAGCTCACCGAGGTGGAGGCCTCAACATAACAAAATTCATATCCATCACAAAATTCATCGAGATATATCCAGATGATACAGACATAAGAAGTCGAGGTCCCCCAGGGGCGGTATGCCCCTCTCCTCGGGGCCGGGGCCGCCGTCGTTCTGGCCCCAGGGCTGGCTGAAGACGCCTCCTTCCTGGGGCCAGGCACCGACGGCGACACTATTTCTGGCGACCACCGCCCTTCCCAGCTCCACCACGCCTTGGTCCAGACGAAGGACGAACAATCGTTGTGTAGGAAGTCTTCAGGGGACTCAAGGCCTCTTGCCTATGGGCCTCCCCCCCCCGCATGGCTGGAAAGTTGGTTCGGTTGGCGGCTTGACTGGCCGGGCTGGTTGCGGATTTCAGGCTCCTCCGCCGGGTGCGGCGGAGCCCGACCCCGCCACCTTGCCGGGGCTGCCGTGGCGGATCCACGCCCATCCTTCGAGCCAACGTGGTTGAGGGGCTCACCTTTGCGACCTAATGACACACATGTTATATATATATACACATATATGCATGTATATGTATTTAAAGTATATGCTATAGGGCCACTCAATCTGAAGCTATGATGGGGCGCGGGCTGGTCGCAAGGGGGGTGGGTCGCAAATGGTGGAAGGGCGGTACACGGAAAAAACAAATCTGGAAGCTCCCTGCTCATTGTGCTCTATGCTCACTGTGCTTAATCTGAAGCTCTGAAAACTCTCAGCAGGAGAACCCAGGGTCGCTCACTGCGCTCTGAAATTCCAAATTACTTAACACAGATGAGCATGTCCGAGTTCCTGAACTTCCGAATTGATTTCCGAGTTGCCGAATTGCATTTTCATGTTCCCGCTTTCTTTGTATACATTTATGTATGTATGCATATACATAACTTACTTAATTGTTGCTCAAAGTTGCCATATGGCGGGGTGCTCAAGGGTATATCTATTCACACATATGAATGTATGCCTGCTTGCATGTGTGTCAAAGCGCTTGCCACTGTTAGCTCTTCTAGCTTCTCTTGTTCGTTCTCTTCGTCGTCGTCACGTACTCTGTGTCTTTCTCATTCTCCCTGCATCCTCCAATCTGTCCCTCGTTCCCCTTTCCTCTTCCTCCTCCCTTTTTGCCTCACTCCTGTCCCTGTCCCCTTGATCCACCCTCCTTCTCCACCATTGAAACGATGATGCCTGGTATGGTCGGCTGCACTAACGACCTCTTCTCCCCTCTTTCTCTTCTCCCCCCCTCCCTCCCTCCCCTTCCCTCCTCCTCCTCCTCCTCCTCCTCCTCCTCGTCCTCCTCCTCCTCCTCCTCCCCTTTCTCCTTCTCCTATTTCCTTCTCCTCCTCCTCTTTCCTCCTTCCGTCTTATCCTCCCTTTTTTCTCCTTCCTGCATCGTGCCTCCCCTCTCACCCCTTCCCTTCTCCCTCCCCGCCCCCTCTCGTCCAGCCAGGTGGTGTCCGAAAAGCTCGGCTGCGACTTCACTTCCTCCGACTCCAACGACTCCTCCTCCGACTCGGACCCCGAGGGCAGCTCGGCCTTCGCCCCGCACGCTGGCCTTGCGGCGGTGCCCGGGGCCTCTCGAAGCGCGCGCGGGATCCGCTCTCCAGGTCCCCCCCCCCTTGGGAGAGGGGGGGGGGCGGGAGCGAGTACCGAGGAGTTGGGGGAGGAGCGAGGACGAGGAGGAGGAGGAGGAGGAGGAGGAGGAGGAGGAGGAGGAGGAGGAGGAGGAGGAGGAGGAGGAGCAGGACGAACGCTACGATGCCAGTCTGGTGATGAGGATGAGAAGACGGAGGACGAGGAGGAGTAGGATGAGGATGATGATGAGGAAGACGAGGCGGAGGACGAGGAGTAGGAGGAAGAGGAGGAGGAGGAGGAGGAAGAGGAGGTACGCTGATGCTGCTGATGATGCTGCTGTTGTTGATGCTGATGCTGATGCTGCTGCTGATGATCATGCTGATGATGATGCTGCTGATGGTAATGCTGATGCTAATGCTGATGGTAATGATGACGATGATGTATCAACGACAAGAGCATACGCTGTGATGAGATGATGAGACTAGAAACAAAACATGTCAAATGCGAGCGAGACCTGACAGTCATTGCTGGAAGCATGGCCGCGCAGCACTATCCAATGATGATGATGATGATGGTGCTGATGATGATGCTGCTGATGATGATGATGCTGCTGCTGATGATGATGCTGATTTCGATTAGATTGCTGATGATGCTGCTGCTGCAATGAGGATGAGGATGAGGATGAGGATGAGGAGGATGAGGAGGATAATGAGGAGGAGGGAGCTCCACTGTAAGTCCAAGATGCATCAACGATGTTGCACTAAACCTCCCTCCAAGTGCCCTCTCCAGAGGTCACTAAAACAATTTGCTTTCATTACGGGAAGGGTAACACCAGAGGGCAATCGTCTGAGAATTTTCAGTCTTTCCAAACATTGTTCCTACGACTTCAACTCTCCAGGTCAACGTGGATATGGCGTCCTGATAACTCAACATCGTACAAGGACACCATTCCCAGGAATTCAGGAGCGCGAACCAGTGTCATTGTTGTGTCCGGACAGTCCTGAATCGCGTCAGAGCACCACTCCTGGAATCTCGGCCACGCGAGTCCTACAACGTATCGTAAACGTCTGAGACACATTCGCGCAGCGCGAAAGCGAGAGCCACGTTTTGAAAACCGCCCTCCCTCCACGCATGAAGCTCATCGTAATCGTCTCAGACGACGTCGCGCTGCGCTAAGGCGAGAGCCACATTTTGAAAGCGACCCGCCCTCCGTCTGTGAGGCTGTAGCAGGTTTCTACGACGATTGCGCCTGCGCCTGGGAGTGCCACGTTTTGAAAAGGACCCACAATCCATCTTTGAAACCGTTGCAAAGGCGAATATGCGCGGCACTAAGGCGATAGGCATATTTTGACACGGGCGCACCCTCCATCCGTGAAACTGTTGCAAAGTTGAAGCTTCGGGAGCATAAACGGTCAGGAAGCCCCAGGCGAAGCGCCTGGCCCGTCCTACCGACACGTCTGGGTGTGCGACAGGGTGTGTCTGGGTGTGCGAATCGTATCGTCGTCAGCCAGAGCGTCTTCGAAGTATTGCTTGTCGCCCCCGTCCCCGCTTCTCCCGCGGCCCCCCTCCCGGAATGCTTCAGGCCTGGGTGCGAACGGAGCTTCCGGCCACCTGGTTGCGGCCGAGTGTCGGTCACGTTCGCGGGACAGGCCCCATTGCAGTGTTCCCCCTCTTACAGTAGGGGTCTTGAGGAAGGCACCCTTGTCTTTGGGGAGGGGCTCGGTGCTCCTGGATTGTTTCAGAGTTTGCCCCGGGCTTTCCTGAGGTTTTCCACAGGAACTCGAGGAAAGGGGCCTCGCTCCTCATCTAGGGTTCCTTGGGTCAACGCCCCGACTGTATTCCCTTCCCTCCCTCCTTTCCTCATTCTTTTCCTCCCCGGTGCCCACCTTTCCCCCCCTCCTCCTTTCCCTCCCTCCTTTCCCTCCCTCCTTTCCTCCCTCCCTCCTTTCCTCCCTCCTTTCCTCCCTCCCTCCTTCATTCCTTTCCTCCCCGGTGCCCACGCCGCCCCCACGGCGCGCAGGGCGTCGGTCCCAGCTGTTGGACGGGCGGTCCGTCTCGCTCGCCTCGTCGCCTGCCCTTCCCTCCTCTCGCCGCCCTCCCCGCCCGTCTCCCCTCCTCCCGCCGTGGCCGTCCAAGCCGCTTCACCCCAGGAAGCATTTAAGAACCCCCCCCCCCTCCGGCAAATCGATAACCCTTCCGCACCATCATCATCATCATCATCATCATCATCATCATCATCATCATCATCATCATCATCATCATCATCATCATCATCATCATCATCATCATCATCATCATCATCATCATCATCATCATCATCATCATCATCGTGTCCGGGTGCTGCAGCTATCGTTCGGTTATTTCGGCCCTTCGGAATATCGACTAAAAAATGCGGTGCTACGATATCGCCGGGGGGTTTCTTAAATGCTTCCTGGGGTTATCCACGCATCGTCACCAGTGCTAGCCTTGCCGACCCGCTCCGACTGGGGCTGCGCTCGTGGAGAACTCTCCGTGCGCTTGGGCACTACCTTTCGGTCTGCGCTTGCCCCCCGGTGGTCATGTGGGCTCACGGATTGACAGGCAGTCGGGTGATTACCTCCGAGGCCATGTCGCCCTCCTTCCTGGCCTTCCTCGTCGTCGTCCTCCTCTTGGATCGAACTGGCCCAGTACACAGGCCCCAGCGTATCGACTGGGTCTCACCACCCACCAAACCACCCCAACCCAACCCGAAGCCCTCAATCTGCCCTTCATTTCCGGGGGGGGGTGGTCGGAGCACCCCAAGTACCCGCTCGCGGCCAGATTCGGCCAGATTGTGGGGATGTCTCAGGCGGTGTGCCTGTCTTGGCCCGCTTGTCTTCTGCTTCCGAAGGAGGACTGTGAGGATGTCGTGAGCGAGGGAACCAGCACCCCCAATAGGGGAGCCGTCGGGGAGCAGGTTGTGAGGATGTCTCCGGCGAGGCGCCGGCTTCAGCCCCCCCCCCCCCCCCATGGGGGCGCCGCCAAGGGGTGGGGCACTCGCCAATTCGCTGCCAGATCGTGGAGATGTCTCGAGCCAGGTGCTCGATTTGCACGTCGGGTTCTGTCCATTCGGGGCCCATGATCACCTCGATGTAGGAGAATGGGCGGCCGCCAGGGAGGAGCAGGGACGACGGAGGAGGAAGGAGAAGGGTGCAGAGGGAGGGAGAAGGGAGGGGTGAGGAAGAGGAGAGATGGGCTGCGGCCAGGAGGAGAAGAAAAGAGACAGGAGGGGGCCGCCAGGAAGAGGGGTCACTTGCCAGGGAGGAGGGAGGAGGGAGAAGGAGGAAGGAGGAGGACGCAGGTGGAGGAATAAGGACGCTGCCGCCAGGGAGGATGAGAGAGGACGGAGGAGGAAAGAGGCGGACCCAGGATGAGGGAAAAGGGAGGCAGGGAGGGTCGTACGACGAGGAGAGGAATCTGCTCACTGTCTGTTTGTGAGTCGTCGTCGTCGTCGTCGTCGCTGTCCCCCATCGTAGCCGCCACCGTCGTCGTCGTTGCCGTCGTCATGCCCGTCTCCCACTTGGACTCGCTCTCGGACTCAGACGCTCACAGCGAGACAATCACAGCAGGACGCACCAGGAAATGGGATGCACGCCTAGGGACCTTCGCGTCGAGCAGTCTCGTCTCCGTGCCTCCTGGCGCGCCCTCGTGGCCGCGGCTGGACTCGCCTCGGATCGTCGCCGTCGCCTGGGCCGTCGCCGGGGCCGCCGCTGCTGCCGCAGTTGCTGCCGCAGTTGCTGCCGCTGGGGCCGTGACCCTCGTCGCCGTCGTCGCCGCCAGGCCGCCGCTGCTGTCGCAGCCGCCGCCCGTCGGGGCCCCGGCCGTCCGACCCTGCAGCGGGCCGCGCCCCTCGAGGCGCTCTGGCCGGCGGCGCTCGCCCTCGTGGCGCTGCCGTGAGCGCCTCGCGGCGCCCTCGCCCAGCGGGCCTGCTGGCGCCCGCGGGCCCTCCGCGTCAGTTCGGCCAACCCCCTTTTAGCAGGGGCCCAAAGGCCGGGGGCTGCGAAAGGCGCCTCTGGCCCATGGTGCCCCCCTGGCTCCTCGCCCGACGCTGGAGCCCCCATGGGGCCCCTCTGGGCCTCGCGGGGGGCGCTCTGGAGGCCGTGCGGGCCTCCACGGAGATCTCCCGGGGGCACCCTGGGCCAGGGGCAGTTCTGGCAACGCCCGAGGAGGGCCGTGGCGCGCGGGGCACGCCGGTGTCCGGCGGGCGCGCGCCCGCTCGCGCGGGCGGGGCGGGCGGTCGGCGGAGGCTCCTCCACGGGCCGCCCAGCAGCGGGGCCTGGGCCGATCGGGCCGCCGGTGCCCCGCGCGTGCCTTCCCACCGGATTCGGCGCGGGCGATGAGACGGATGTCCTGGAGGGAAGCGGGACACGACTCCACCCCAGTCTCCCCCGGGAGCCAGTATGTAGAGCGTGTTTTACTCCCGGGCGATGGCGGGCGTTACCGGGGGGGGGGGGGAAGGGGGCGTGCTGGGCCAGAAGTGTCGCGTCTCGCGCCAGCGTCATCCGGGAGTGTCTGGAGGTCGGCACGAGGCGTGACGTTACCTTGGGGGGGATGGGGCGGGGGCAGGGCCAGTCTCGGCCGCTGTCGCGAAAAAGAAGGCAACCGCTCTCGTCTCATCCCGAAGCGTCCTCCCAGGGAGCTTACGGAAGAGGTGCGCGCCAGGCCGCGTGCCCGCGGGAGCACGGCATGGGGCGCGGCGCGGAAAGCTGGGGACACGCTGGGCCCCGGTCGCCTCTGGCAGCCTGGGGCTCCGCCTCGGATGTGGGGGCAGCGAGGGCGGGGGCGGCGAGGGCGGGGGCGGCGAGGGAGGGGGGCGGGGCTGTGGGGGAGTGTGACGACGAGGAGGACGGGGTCGAGGGCGAGGGTGAGGGTGAGGGTGAACACCAGGACGAGGGTGAAGGGTGAGGACGAGGATGAGGATAAATGACGAGGACGAGGACGAGGGCAAGGGTGAGCTCGGGAGAGGACGAGGCCGAGGACGTCTTCTTTTGACCTTCTCCTCCTCTTTGACGTAATCGAGCTCTTCCCTGAATTGCTCTACTTCCTTCTGCTCTTCCTCCTCCTCCTCCTCCTTGACCTTCTATTCCTCATCCGCGCAGTCGCTTTAGTGTGACCACTTGGGAACTGTGGAACCGTGCGATCGAGGCCCTTGTCTTTGCCATTGAGAGCTTTTTTTGCGACTGGAAAAGCGCGGCGCCGCCTCCTTGTCCACCGTCGTTCGGCCCTCCTCCCTCCTCCGCCCTCCCTCATCCTCCTCCACAGGTTTCTGGAGATCCTCGGAGGCCTCCAGAGATCCCTGGAGGCCTCCCCCTGGAGGGCGCTGGAGTTCCGTGGATGTCACGGGAGGCCTTCCCACGTCCCTCCGATAGCCTCCTTCCTCCATCTGGAGGTTTCGGGAAGCCTCCAGGGCGCATCTGGAGCCCCTCCGAACCTAAACGTAGCAAAACACCTCGATCCTCACCACTCCTGGGTGACCCGCATGCTTCAGTATAGCGGCGATGAGATCCCCCCCATGGGCCGTTCTGGAATTGCAAGCCGCGGCGCTGGGGGCCGTGCGTTCCTGGGTGGTTGAAACGCCAGCCTTCTGCGCACCCAGTATTCGCCTGTAGGCTCCTCGTGCCAGCAGAAAGACGTCTCCTATCGGTTGCGCCCCGAAGTCGTATACCACAAGCCTTGTCCCATAGCCTGCACCCCACAAGGGGCACTCCGCGAGCGTCAGGAGAAAGCCAATCTTTGGGGTCCGCGCCCGCCCCCGTGGCCCCCAGGAAGACTCCGGAGGCCTCGCCGCCCCGTCCGCAGCTCAGAGCTTCGGCCCGCCTGCGCTGGCCCGCCTGGCATGGCCGAGGGCCAGGACCGCTCTGCCCGGCTCGACCACCTGACGGGAGCGCGGGCCCTCTGTGCCATATGGATCGTGTGCTGCCACTTCGTGCCGCCCGAGCCCGCAGGCCCGCTGGCGGCGGCCAGGAACCGCGGGAACGCGGGCGTTTGCTTCTTCGTCGTGCTCAGCGGCTTCATCACCCAGGAGGGCGTTTCTTTGTTGCTTGGGCCATGACGCGCGTGATGGCCCCCCCGTCCTCCCCCCCTATAATGTAAGGCTCCGGCACCCGGTGCGCCCCCGGCACTGCCGCCGTGCGCATAGGGATCCGGATGGGAACCCGAGTAGGGATCCGCACAGGCATCCGCTCAGAAACCCGCATAGGGATCCGCATGGGGATCGCATAGAGATCTCCGTCGGGATTCGCATAGGGATCTGCATAGGGATCCGCATAGGGATCTGCGTGGGGATCCGCATAGGGGCGGTGGTCGCGGGCAAGTTGCAGTGCTCTCATGCACTTGTGCTGTTCGTAGGGGAGAGAACAATAGGGGGAGAAGGACGACGACGATGACGACAGGGATGGAGAAGGGAGGTAAGAAGCATACCTCTTATACGCCACGTGGAGGCAACGACGCCTTCGCAGGCATGTGCTCGCCACAACTCCTCGTTGTTCTTCGTTGTCGGTCGTCTTCGTCGCTCTTCGTTGTCGGTCGTTGTCGTCGTCGTCGTCGTCGTCGTCATCGTCGTCGTCGTCGTCGTCGTCATCGTCGTCGTCGTCGTCGTCGTCTTGGTCGTCGTCGTTGTTGTTGATGTCAGTCGTCATTGCTCGCAGTCGCTCGTCGTTGTCAAACACTCAGGAGGCCGTCGGATGACCTCCGGAAGTCTTCTGGAGGCTTCAGAGGCCTCAGGATGCCTCTGGAGGCCTCGGGAAATTCCCAGAGAACTTCGGAGCGTCGCTCGTCATCGTCGCCGTCGCCGTCGTCGTCGTCGTCTCTCGTCGTCGTCGTCGTCGTCGTCGTCGTCGTCGTCGTCTCGTGGTGCTCGTCGTCGTGTTCGTCGTCGTCGTCGTCGTCGTGGTCGTCGCTCGTCGTCGTCGTTGTCGTCATCGTCGTTGTCGTCGTCGTCGTCGTCGTCGTCGTCCTCGTCGTCGTCGTCTTCGTTGTCGTTGTCGTCGGTCGTCATCGCTCGCGGTCGCTCGTCGATGTCCAACGCTTTCGAATGCTTTCGAGGGCCTCTGGAGGCCTTCGGATGACATCTGGAAGGCTTCTGGAGGTTTCCAGAGGCCTCAGGATGCCTCTGGAGGCCTCGGGAAACCCCCGGAGACCTTCGGAGGCGTCGCTCTTTGTCGTCGCCGTCGTCGTCGTGGTCGCTCGTCGTCGTCGTCGTCGTCGTTGTCGTCGTGGTCGCTCGTCGTCGTCGTCGTCGTCGTCGTCGTCGTCGTCGTCGTCGTCATCGTCTCGTGGTCGCTTGTCGTCGTCGTCGTCGCTCGTCGCTCGTCGCTCGTCGCTCGTCGTCGTTGTCGTCGTCGTCGTCGTGGTCGTTCGTCGTCGTCGTCGTCGTGGTCGCCGTCGTCGTCGTCGTCGTCGTCGCCGTCGTCGTCGCTCGTCGCTCGTCGCTCTGTTGCTCGTTGTCGTCGTCGTCGTCGTCGTCGGCGTCTCGTGGTCGCTCGTCGTCGTCGTCGTCGTCGTCGTCATCGTCGTTGTCGTCGCTCGTCGTCGCTCGTCGTCGTCGTTGTCGTCGCTCGTCGTCGTCATCGCTCGTCGTCGTCGTCGTCGCTCGTCGTCGTCGTCGCTCGTCGTCGTCGTCGTCGTCGTCGTCGTCGTCGTCGTCGTCGTCGCTCGTCGTCGTCGCTCGTCGTCGTCGTCGTCGTCGTCGTCGTCGTCGTCGTCGTCGTCGTCGTCGTCGTCGTCGTCGTCGTCGTCGTGTGCGCGCGCGCGGACGCTGTTGTGGCGCTGGAACTGCACGGCGGGGGGCGGGGGGCGTGTTTATGTTGCACCCCTCCCCGCCCCCCCCCCATCCATAACGCCCGTTGTCGCCGCAAACAAAGACGCGCGCCCCAGTGGGTCTACGCCGCGAAGGCCGCGGCGGGCGCAGAGCAGGTCCTCGCCTACCTCGCCCGGCGGGTGTGCCGGGTCCTGCTGACCACCTGGGTGGCTATGTTCTGCGGGCTGCTGGTGGTCCTGGTGCAGCGCCGGGCGAGGGAGCACCTGCTCCCGGATGGCGCCTACCTGGCGCGGTGCTTCCTGCTCGTGGAGCCGTGGGTCGACCCCTTCCACTGGTGCCCCAACGGCCAGACGTGGACGGTCGCGGCGCTGCTGCCCTCCTGGCTCCTCTTCCCCCTGACGTGCCGCGCGCTGGCCGCCGCCGAGCTGCGGGGCGGGGCGGGCGGGCTGCTGCTGCTGGCCGCGCTCCTCTGGTTCGCGTCCGCCGGGCCGCTGCTGGCGCTCTTCCTGCTCCAGGGCATGTGGGTCACGGGCGACCAGTTCATCCGCAGAAGATGGAAGGGCTGCACGAGCAGCACTTTTCAGGGGTCCGCCCAGAGATCTCGGATCTGCGCTAAGGCCCCCCCCCCCTGGCGGCGCCTCCGGCGCCAGCGCCGCCCCTGGCGCGCTCCGCGCGCCAGGAGGGGGGGTTCGTCCAGCGCCGAGCCGAGGAGTCCGCGCGAGCCTCCGAGAGTCTCTAGCTGCTTGTGCCGTTGCTTCTCTCTCTCCCTTCTGTGTTCGAGTGGGGGATCGGCTACAGAATTGATTTACCCCAAATTTGATTTGTTCGCCGCATCCAGGAGAAACGCGCATCATCTTCGCAGATCTACGAACCTTCTGTGTATTCTGTTGTTCACACGACGAGGAGATCAATTTCGGGTACATCTATCCTGTAGTCGATCCCCTACTCGAGTCCATGTGGGGCTACATCTGGCCCCCCTCCCAGCTCGCAGACTTCGCTGTCGGGGCCGCGTGCGCCGCGCTCGCGCGGCGCTGCAGCGCCGCCGGCCTCCCCCACGGGCGGTGCGGCGTTGTCGCTCACGCGGCCCTCGCAGACGCATCCGCCGTGGTCGCGGCCGCGCTCGTGCTGGCGGTGCCCAGCGGTGGCGAGCGGGAGGGCTGGGAGGCCCTGTTCAGTCACGGCCTCACGCCTCTGTACGCGGCCTTCCTGTTCGGGTCGTGCGCGCGCGGCAGCGCGGGCCTGGCCGCGTCGCTGCTGAGCCACGGGGCGCTGGTGGGGCTGGGGGAGTACAGCCTGGAGGCTTACCTCTTCCAGTGGCCCATGCACGAGGTCTTCGTCGCCCTCGGCGACGTCACGGGCGCGTTCAGCATGAGGCAGCGGGTGAACGACAACGCCTGCGGGTTCCTCGCCTTCGCGGTGTGCCTGTGGATCTTCTCCGCCGCCTACGCGGAGTTTGTGGAGGCGCCCCTCGTGCGCTGGCTGCGCGGGCCGGGCGACGACGCCGCGGGCCAGCGCACCTCCTACGGCCTCCTCGGGGCGCAGACGCCCACGCAGGCCGAGCGCGGCGGCGAGGCCGCGGCGGCCGGTTAGCTGTCGAGGGGAGCTGGCGGCGTGACGGGGCGGGCGAGCTTTGCAGGCGGCGGCGGCCGCCGCCCAAGGCGGCAAAGGCGGCGGCAAGGCCTCGTCGTCGGCGCGGAAGAAGGTTTTTGGAGGCTTTCGGAGGCCGTGGGAGGCCTCGGCGCGGTCGACCGGGGGATCTGCGATGGCGGTCCTCGGCTAGACGAGCGTTTTTTTTCCTGGGCGGTATCCAGAGTTACCCAGGGGTGGGAGGGGCGTGTACGTCTCTTTGCAGCCAGAGCGGGCATTTTCCAACCAGCATTGGTTTTCCAGGAAGGTCGTCTTACAACCAGGAAAGGCATTTTCTAACCACGCAACTAAAGTCAATTTAAACAGGGTTTTCATCTAATTGCAGTTCTCCGTCGCCCCGCATAAGGAACGCATTTTGCTGCCTGACGCGTGTTGATTGTACAGTGATTCGTCCTGGATGAGTTGCAAACTCAGAGGTCTGGTTGCGAAGGAACTTGCCACATGGAGTGAG